TCCTCTTCCTTCCTAACACGGTTATGCGAGTTTCTTTCCACATCCGTTTCACAGAGTTCCAGTGTTCATCCGCACAGGTTTCTTCGGGGATGTTGTTTAATGTCACCCATTTTTTCCTGATGACTGACGTGAAGATGTCCTTTGTAGTTTCGTCCTTCAGTTCAGTTTCTGTTCTGGGTGTTGAACTTGAACTGTGGTCTATCATCAGCTTGCGTGAAGGCGATCAACTTGATTTTGAAGGCAGGTTCCTTGCACTAGATAGTGAGTGGTGTGAACTCCCCTTCTTGATCTTGTGTCCAGCAGGCTGCGTCTCTACTTTCTCGAGATTGAGATGAAGTCGATCTAGTTTTAGTGTGTCCTGGTGTCTGATGAAATCCATGTCTCTCGCTTTGTGAATATCCTTGTGTTTGTACACACTGTCTTCTTTCACCAAGTCATTGAAGGTGCAGAAGTCTGCAAACAGTCCTCCGTTCTCATTCATTTCACCTAGTGCCTCTCGACCCATGATGAGTTCTCTTCCTGTGTTGTCTGCTCCCAGTTTGGCATTCATGTGGTCCATTAGAGTTTTGCTGTCGCCAACTGGAGTCTTGTCTATTACTGATTGCAGTTGTCTATAGAATTCCTCCTTCTCTTGATCTGCATTATTTGTTGGCGCGTAGCATTGAATGATTGTGACTTTCCTTCCTTTTGAGTTGAATCTTGCTGTTATGATTCTGGTCAAGGAGGAGATTGGTTCCCACTGCATGAGAGAGAGCCTTCGATGGTCTTGGGGAAATCGTGATAGCCACTCCAGAACTTCGTGTGCTCGTGGTTGTCGTTTGGGTGACCGGAGTAGATTATTGACTCTCCAGTTGACAGTTTGGAGAGTCCACTCCCATTCCATCTGCTTTCGCATATTCCAAGCACTTCAATGGCATATCTCCTCGTTTCTTTTGCAATTTGGGAAGCCTTGGTAGGTTGATGCATGGTGCGGACATTCCATGTCCCCACGTTTACTTTCGCTCTCATCGAGAGAAGACACGTCGGCCGACTGGCTTCCGGAATGCTTTCACCAACCGGTGTCATTTCGTGTCTCCGATTCCAGCGAGGAATAAGTTCGTTTTTATGTTTTATATTTTGTCTATGCTTTGGAGTTCCTGTAGAGGTTGGATTTGTTTTACAGGTTAGGGTTACTAGCCCTAAGCCCAAACTTCCCTCTTTACCCGGGCTTAGGGCCGGCTAGTAGCTAGTAAACTGGGCGAGGTTGGTGACAATAATGGTGTCTTTGATAGTTTGAAAATTTTCATTGAGCTTCATTCTTCAAATTCATTATCCTTCCATACACTTTGTTCTACTTTATATGACGCTTTTTGCATGTTTATATGAAGTTTTGCTGCTTGAACCAATTCACACCTATGTCAGGCTTTACGTTGATTTTCCTCTCGGATTAGCTCTACAGAAGTGGTGAGATTGATAAGTCTACTTGAAAAACGTAGTCTCTCCTTGTATCTTTCACTTCAAAACGAAAGGCTCGTAGAAACTGTGCACTTTTGTGCAGTAGGTGATAAACTACTTCTATTTTGTGAATATTTGTGGTAGTATCTGGATGCTGAAACCTCGATAGGTGTAGCTGGATTCGAACCTGTGACTCATCGTTCGGAAGTATTTAGACCAATGAGCCACATACCGATCTTGCGCCCTAGGTTGAGTGGAAGTAGAAAATAGAGCATATTTTTACAGCGTTGTTTTTTTCTCTGCAAGTGTCTTAAATGTCATTAACACACGTGTAATATCATCTCTGTATTTCACTTTTAAGGAGATAAGTTTACTTAGCACTGTTTTCATCCTCTTTCATATACTTGATCAGGAACTGGGGTGGCTTTCGACTCTTTCCATGAATACTGCTAATGGTATCTGGCTACTCCTCTTTTTTGCATCAGGGCAAACCACTTCCTCGATAAACCAGACATTTCACTAAGTTTTGTGCATATTTGATGAGTACGTAAATAAAGATGTGGTCATGTTAGCCAGTCTTTCCTACCTTTCTATGTATACACTTTTTCATTCTGGTCTCACTAATAGGAAATTCAGAAGTGTGTTGCAATCGTTTTCGTTCTTCTTGTATTCTGCAGAAAGCTATCTTATGAACAATACTGAAGTTATCAAGAATATTATTCTCATCTCTAAGTACTATTCACCTATCATCCAAGTGACAGCGATAAAATTCCAACTAAGTGATTAGTTTAGCTCAAAATTACCAAGACTCTGGCTAGTTTTCAGTGGATGCCATATGTGGACTTTATGGTGTGCTGACAATGCACAAGAAATAGCCTGTTTTTGCGATCAATTTGTGACATGTCTAATTTGCTACACCCTACGGTAACCACATTTTTAGTAGAAGTGCTTTAATCGCTTCACAAAGAAGCTGTAAAGTAGAGTTCACAAGATTCCTTCAAATCTCTTGGTTAGATTGGATACTTTAAAGTAAATAATCAATTCATAGTATCATGTACTGTCGCGTTTTCACTTACCGATACGTAGTGAACTAAACAAAAGTAGCATAGAATTAAAAAATTTTACTAACACCGTGACTAACCTACTTTTAAGGTGCGCAATGAATGCATGTTTTATTTTTATTAATGAGTTCAAAAGTGACTTGGTATTTTGACATCAATTCTCAAGTGTTCATTATAAAGGTAAGTTTTCATATAATCTCAGTGTTTAGAAAATCGAAAAACAAGATTTTTCTGAACGTTTCGCTGTGTATGCCACAGCTTCTTCAGCAGAATATTCGGATTTTTATTTGACATGAAAATATATACTCATTGTATAGGATGTATTTTTATTTGTGTAATCCCGGCGTAGTATATTAGAACAAATAACACAATAAACAAACATTTTGTATTTGTTTATTTTGTTATTTGTTCTAATATACTACGCCGGGATTACACAAATAAAAATACAACTTATACAATGAATCATACTAACTCGGTGCCCAAGTTTTTTCAAACCATCCAGTCCATTGTTGGCCAGGCTACCTTCAAAAATATATACTGTCCAAAGGTATATGTAGAAATTTCTGTCTTTATGTTATTGGTTAGCTATTTTGTTGTTCAGACTGATTGTTTCCAGTTAGTCATCATAAATTCCTAGTCTTTGTCATCTGTCATCAAAGAACGATTCAATAATCAACGTGCGTGTATACGTATGTGTTAACTTTTTGTGGAAAATGTGTCATTCGTTGTTTATCATATAAAAAATGAAAAATATGTTTGTATATGCACAATAACTGATGCATGTTGTTTTGGTTTTTAAAAGTACAAATTTAAATGGTGACCTTTTTTAAAGTTTTTGTCTAATTAGAGTCTGCCAAATAGGTGGCAAGTCAATACCTTCCTTTCTGTCTAAAGCATCCGTTGATGTTAGAATATGTAAGGCTTCTGATGTCAATTTCTGTTTATGTATAAGGAAACCCTTCCCTAGTATGTCAACATTGTCAAAATCGATTTTGCGCCCACTTTCAATGACGTGCATTGCTATTGCTGACCTCTTTTCCAAATTTTTCAATTCCACTTAATTTTTTGGTGCATAATCTGTGTTCATTCACTATAGCTTTCAGCTGTCTACATCTTTCACCAATATAATTGACTTCACATTCCGTACATTTTATCTTCTACACACAGTTGTTTTGTCATCTTTGGGATCACATCTTTCACCTTGACTAGTGTTTTTTCCAAAGAATTTGAGGGTTTAAAGTATACCTTAATACCATACTTTGCACAAACTCTTCGCATTTGTTCTGAAGTACCCTTCCTGTATGGAATTGCCATTGTTGATGTCCATGATTTCTCCTCTCCCTTACTTTTCTCGTCTGTTTCTTCCTTGTCATTCTTCTGAATAATATTGTTCAGAAAATGTCTTGGATAGTCATCCTCTACCAATACTTGTTTTATTTTAGAAATTTCGTTTTCTTCATCTTCCGTATCCGTCACAAAATTTTTAGCCCTATTTAATAGGTTCAAAGCGACTGTGGTTTTAACGTTCATTGGATGGTCAGATTGAAAATTTAGAAACTTATCAGGACGTGTAGGTTTTCTGTAAATTCTAATTTTAATTCTCCTTCAGGGTTCCTTTGAATAAGACAGTCTAAGAAATTCAACGTTCCTGCACTCGATTCGGTTTTGTTTGTAAATTTTATGAAATTTGATATTGAGTTTAAGTGTTGTAAAAAAGTTTCAAGTTCTGTTTTCTTGATGATCACAAAGGTATCATCTACATATCTATACCATAGCTTGGGTTGACAATGAAAACCATTTAAAGCTCTTTCTTTGAATGCTTTCATATATAAACTGGCTACAATCGAGGATACTGGTGAGCCCATCGCAACGCCATTAGTTTGACTGTATAACTTGTCCCTAAACGTAAAATATGTTGACTCTAAACATAATCTTAAGCATTTCATAGTATCTTCTGGTGATAAAGAACATCCACTTAGTATTACTTGATCGTTATCAATTACATTCGTAAAGGACATTCGTAAAAACTATGGCCTGGATGTTTGTAGTTCTCAAGTGTCTTTATAATATTAGCTTACAATAACTGATAACAAATATCCAGTAGTCGAATCAAAATGTTTGCGAAATTCTTAGTTTGTGTTAAAAAAAAATACAATTAGGTGTAACCTCACTGTGACTGTTCAGCGCAGTTTGCTTTCGTAATCAAAACTTTTGGTCCACAATCTATTAACCGTGCAACACCAAGGAAAAATCACGTCAAGAATGCATCTAGAAGAAGTGCACCATATATACTGATCTGCATGATTTGGTGGAAGCTGATCAGCAGTGGTGTATGCTAACCAGTTAGAGGTGACCTAAACTTTTGAAAGCCATTTCATTCGTTTTTTTAATTTGAGGTACAGTATTATGTTCATGAAGCCGTATCAAAATCTAAATGAAGATACTGGGATACTATCACAAATTTTTATTACCCATCATTTTCGGTAATGTGTTTTACTAAACTAAGTGTAATTCATAGTTGTTTTTGAAAATATAGTGAAAATAGTGAAATATATAGTCAAAATCCATTATTCTGATAATGAAGTTTATTTCTACACATTGAATTTTTAGATTACCTTTTTTTAATTCAAAGTGGGAATATATGCTGTTGACTACTTACTCTTATCACTCGATTCCTGGTCTATATTCTAAACTGTGTAACTATCATAAATCTTTTAACATCTCTCATGTTCTGTTGAATCACCCCAAGCGTTGTCTGCAAACAAAAGCTTTTCAACCACAATTTGATTTGCAATTATTCAGTGACAGAATATTTGTCGACAACTTACGTGACAATTTAATAGCTCGTAAGCACAATTTAAATGTAGATTATTTAGTAAGTTATCTCCTCAAATTTTATTATCTTTATATATTGTATGCGAGTTTTTGGCTCACTGAAACTGTTGTCACCATTGAAATATGGCGAAGATTTGGTTCCGTAGTTGAAGCAGTTGGTTTTGAGGTAGTGGGTTGAGCGTTACAATCACCCTCCAACCATATCGATTTCTCACTGTATGTTAAAAGTGCATCACAATAGCAGATCTTTTAAGTAAGGCTTTATAGCAAATGTCGAAATTATTGTCTTCAGTGAAGTCACATAGGAAAAAAATTCTTTCAGCTAGTCAAACGTTATTTAAGAGTTACATGACACTATAAACATTTGAATGACTAACTGTAAGATGTCAGAGCTGTTTGGCGACCGCAAGCTAAATCAAATTACTCATACTTAAAATTAGATGGATTTCTATCCTTTTTTTATGCACTTTCAATAAATCATATGTTCGATGAACTGTCAAACTAGAGGGTTGCATTTTCTGGAAGTTTTACGTTGATTACCGATTCATTCCTCACTTTCTAGAGTTATCCCCTGCTCAATCTAGTCGGTTTCATCTTCGTCACTAGTCTTCTTTGGAAATTTGTTTTCATCTGACAGTTCTAAAAATAAGCACATCATCTTAGTGATAGGAAGCAGTCTGAATTGAAATCACCATTCAAGGTCACCAGCGGCCAATGTAAAAGTTTTAGGTTCTAACCTTGGCTCCATGTGTGTGCGGAGGTGAAAACCTTAATGAATAGTTTTGTTCTTCAGCTGACCAGCGAAAATAAATATCCAACTTGTGACCTAAAGGCTTCATTTTCTGAGGGAAAACTGTATATTAATAATGTGTCTTTTGTTAAATCAAGTTGTCTTCTTTACAATCATAGACCGATGTTTTTCTGCTGATTTTCGCAGTTCAGTGAATTACCAGGCCTGAGGGAGAACAGTCGTGTTTCGTATCCATTCCAAGTATCGCATCACGTTATTATCGTTCCGCATATTTATTATTCTCCAGTCAGTCACATCACTTGGTTCCAGTCACGTGACTAATTTTTTATTTGCTGCAGTTCATCAGTGTTCGCTTACAAGTCGACCAACTGATAAGGGAATTTACAAAGTACGATAATGAAACGACCCTAGTTTGGATCTTAGAAGGAAAATAATTTTCTTTAACAGTTTAGATACATCTTATTTACAAGTCATACCAAGGAAAATGTCCTGTTGAATGACCTCCCAACGTTAAATAGTGTACATTTCTTCATATTTCGTAAAGTCACTTCGAGTAACTGATTATCTATTTTTCAGCAGGCAGTTCCGATTATTGGTCACTTGATTGAAGGTTGTTGGCAGAAAGCCATAGATTTCTGCTTGTTCGCATTCATCAGAAACCTCGGCGAGACTGATATTCACTGACACACTCAAACCTGTATTATTCTACACTGTGGTCATAGCCCTCAGTGTTTCGTAATTCCGAATCAAATGATAAACTCCTTTGTATTGAGCATTTTATTAGACTCTACTCATTGTAATTTTCACTTTACTTATTTCAGCTTGATGTTTACCGAAATTATACAAAAGAAAAACGTTCAGAACTGTATGATGAGTTGATGTCACTGATATCTCAGTTACCAAATCTAACTCATCCACTTACTGTAAGTGCTGTTGCGTGTATGTAGTAGGGAGTTACTTTTTAGGTTTCTTATCCATGACCAATTTGCTTTGAATTTTTTTATCGCAAATGCTTACTTTTGTTTTTACCTTACTGACTGTTTTGGTTTGCTTTTTTTAATTTTAGCCTATTGGTGATGCACTGAAAGCGCGAAAAATATATATTCACGGATCTAAACGTGAAGGTAGGTGTGTGTTTATCCTAATAGATCCATTTCGGTGATAATTCACTTACGAAATCTATACATAACTATGCCAGGAAAGATGTCTTGGAGATCCAAGTAACATTAGGAACCTGATTAGACGTAGCTCAATAGTTAAAGCTCAAGTTTGCCAGCTTCATTCCTACCATAAATTATATTTTCTTTTTATTTCAGCCATCTTTGATGATAATGATCAGTCAGGCGGTCAAAGTTATCTAGCTCTCTTGCAGAAATATTTATCTCTTAATTTTTCCCACATAATTAATTAAAATAGGCATTAAGAATACTGACTTTTTTCTTTGTTTTGTGAATTTACACAGAAAACTGGAAATTGTTAAATGTTGTCGAAATAGCTACTAAAGCGAATCGCTCTTCAGTTATTCAAAGTAATATAAATCCTGCTATATCTATCAACCCTGGAGGACATCTTCGTGTTCGGCATACAACTATAGGCGCTGGACAGAGGACATATTATTTCAGTGGACCATTAGCTTTACTAGAATCAGCACTTATTGCATATACGCTTGATCGGTTAAAGGGAACAGGATTTGGATTTATTTCTGTGCCTGATATTCTGCCTGAACCTGTTATTAGAGCCTGTGGTTTCCCAACAAAAGGAATCCGTTCTCAAGTAAATTGTCTTTTCCAGTGTTCAGGTTTTCATTTTTGGCATTCAGTTAGTTCGATAACTATTCATATAGTTAGTTGTTGTTAACTATTGAGTTTACAATGGAAATATGAGCCTTTTAATTGAGTATATTTCACGTTGTGCATATATGTTAAAGATTGTGATATGATTGTTGTGGCAACACGGTTAACTGTGAAGTTTTTATCAACTTGCATTAACCGACTTTTTGTACAGCTTATGTTTTTCTTAATCCAACTGAGTATCATTACGTTATGCAAGATATTGGAAAAGCCTTCCGAAAATGCCTTCAATCCATTGAAGCACTTTTTAAACTCATCTTGCATAATAGTATACAGTTTATTCTATGAATATATTAGATGACAGTATCAGCACTTTTCGTTCTGTTGGATTCAGCATTTTTGGCATCAACTGGAGTATGAGCTCGGCAATAAATTGGTCGCTTAAAAGGTACCTTAATATAATGACAGAGGATATAAGAAAACAACAAAGTAGTCCAGCGGAAAAGCTCTTCTCGACGATTAGATTCTGTAGGTCACACAATCATAACTGTTCTTCATAGAAATGTTCACTGTTCTAAATGTTTACGGTAATTCATCTCATTACGTTTACAGGACAGGGTAACTAACCTGGTAGTTTGTTATGTAAAGGATAGTCAAATTTTACTAATACTTGTGATTTCCCGTTGTTATACTGGGTCGAATAGCTCGACCTCTGTTGGCGGATGGCAGAGGCCTCGATACTATTTGGATACTGATTATATTGTGGCCTACTTGGTGATTAGCATTGGCGTCCAGGATGCACCTCTCGTCCTATTTGGGACTCGTCACCTGGATGTACCTGCAATCCACTGAGTGATGTTCTTCCGTTGAGATTCGGTAACGCTTTGGCGTTTAAAGCGATAGGCACTGGGTTTGAGTCTCAGCGGGAAAAACACCATTGTGTCATCTGTATACGGCTATGAGGCATGCCTTTCAAAGCAGAAGACATGAAGAGGTTAGAGGGCTTTGATCATAGATGTCGTTGTAGCTTTGCTCGCGTTGGATCAAATCACCCCGTGAGCAGTGTTAATGTCAGACGAAGGCCACCAGGCAAGTCTCTTGATGAGGTTGTGAACATTCATCGACTGAGGTGGTTTGGAAATATATTGCGCATGCCGAGCCACCACCTACCTCGGCGTTCAATGTTAGCAGAAAATAGATTATTTTGGTAAAATGTTTAATGTGGCGAAATCAAGACGTGACACCAGTGCATGAAATCTCTAACTGTTGGTCTGAGCTGTGTAGGGAAGTGTAAACTACCTGGCTGGTATCCTCAAGACGATTGGCATAAGTGGTTGAGGACCGTTGGTGACATGGTTGAAAGTCGGTTGTACTGACGCTGGTGTATTCACTGTTTGACGTCTTGTAAAGCTTGAATATTTTCACTAACCTTCATTTACGAATTTGTTCTTCTCCTGTATGCCTTTGTACTTCTCTGTCCATCTGTTCTTTCCATGATGCTGTGAATTGTGGCGACTTAAAGTAACGCACTTGTGTACGAGGTTCTACGTTGATTTTGTCTGCTTTGTTACTTGATGTACTGGTATGAGATGACAATTTGTGCCGTTATGTTGTATTGCCTGTTCCTATGCTGATGTTGATGAAGACACCATCACAGCCTCTTCTGCGATCTGGTTTTACTCTTTTCCTATAATCTCATTTAGTTTAACAGTGTCTTTTATCTCTGACACTTGAGTAATTAATTATATCGTTATTATGTTGCTGTAATTTATATTGATATCCATATGGGTGGTTGTGTGGTTAGGAAATCCACAGCATGAAATTTTTACATAATGATGATAGTAAGGAAATTATGGAGAATCAAAATACATTTAACAGCTAGTATAAGACTGCTTTATACCTTATTTTGCAGACAATTGTTGGGGTCAACTATAGATTATTCAACATCAGTGTCTCTTCTCAACACTAAGAGACACTGAAAAGCCAACTATGTATAGGTTTTTCATAGGTTTACTTTTAAAGTTGATTATTTCAGTCCGGAAGTATATTGAAAAAGTGTTTTAGTGAAATAGCGCATGTAATCTTCACTAGTGCTGTTTTATTTATCTCCATTTATTTTCTTAGCAGTTTTAACAATCATGTGCCGGCATACGAAAAAAGCTGTAAAGACTGGTTAGGTTCCTTTCCAAGATAACTTTTCGTGACAATCACTTTATTTTGTCATCGCGTAGTTATATTTTTGGTCTTTTTTTCCCGTTCAACTGTAGTCACGTTATTTTCCCTCGATACTTACGCGAAATTCTTCTCCTGTTTTTCTAAATGATTCAACAGTTAAAAGCTGCATTTATTGTGTAGAGACATCAGGAGCGAAAATGCACCTGATTGTACTAAATAAGTTAGGGAGTAGATAGTATTATGAATATCTAGTCCATAGTTGTTACAAATGTCCTGGAAGAATTTAAGTGCCAAATCTGACTTAGTTATTCTATAATATATATAATATAATCTCAGCGTATTTTAAAGAAATTCTTGTTATTCTTTTTCCAAACACTCCGGGATATTTGGACTTACATTGTGGGTAAATGGGTTTTTTAAGAAACACATGTGTGTGAAATCCTCTGATCTGGCCATCTAATGATGGTTGTGCCATGTCTCCTATCATTTTATCTGCTTTATTTTTTAGGATATTGAAAATAAACTGAATATGTTTCCTATTCTGCCTACAGATATATAAGATAACTCCGCCATTATCTAATTTACGATACTGCCTGTCTGGAACATCTGAAATGGCACTGGCTGGATTTTGTGCTGGTCGATCTTTCAATTGTTCATCGTCTAAAAATGATGCGTCAGATCAGTTTTCTGCACTTGGTTTCTGTTCTGTGAGTCGATGTTTTCGAAAAGAAGTACCTCAACAAGAGCCAACACTTTATCGAGTGCATCAGTTTACTAAAGTAAGCTTGTAAAGCCTTTGGATTTTACTAAAAAGAATCGTTATTTATTATTTATCCAAAAGTGAGAGAATACTAACAGAATGCCTATAAGTCATATCAAGTTATTGTTCGTAAACAGGACAATAATCAGTGTAAAAGTTTGGAATCGTTGGGTGGTATCTCGAAGTCCCACAATCTCAGGTGATGATCGAGGTTAAAGAGGTTCCTTGGTTAATGTGACTGAATAATACTGGGTTTGTGGGATTTCTGCTAACTGATAGGTTATGAACTAGAAACCATCGTTACACAGCCATAATACTTTGATACACGACAATAGATACTGACTACTGAAGAAACCATCCACACACTACTGAAAGACACAGAAGACGAGACTCGGAAGGCAAGATTTGTTGCTCCGGAAAAAGGCGAAAACTAACTGAAAATATAACTATTTATATAGTTATTTTTACTGGGTCAATTGTTGCTGTTTATTATAGAAAATTTTTTTTCTCGTGCACTGGTTAGTAGTGGACCATTGGTAAAGCTGTTGTCCAACGCTAATAGTCGGTCATTTTACTTGGAAGATACTGACCCATCAGCTATTTGTCTGTCCGTTCAAACTTCGATACACAGCTGCAGCTGCACAAAGTAAACAATTGCTGTTGTGGGGTATATGCGAGGTTCAACGTTGATTCTATATTTCCGTCTGGAACAGTTTTATTAAAACTTTGTGTGGTTAACGTTAAACACGGATTCTTTCAGCTTCAAATCCGCGTTCCCGTTGTCGATAAATCGCGGAGCGCAAACTGTTTTGGATCTACTTGTTGATTGCAATCATTCGAAGTTTGTCCGACTCCAAGTAACGTATCTGTCTATGTTGACTTCTGTTTCCAATTTCTCGGCATTGATTCTCTTGACTAAAACATCCAGAAGTTGCAGTTGGTTGTTCGACTCATTCTCCACTATGAATTTGATGTAGTTGATCAAACTGTAAATGTTTCCTAATCCTTCCTTTTTAATAATAAGAAAAGTAACATCCACATAGCGGATCCGAATTTTGAGTTTGATGGAAGATTGGAAGACTGGATCACATCATCATGAAGCACTATTAAGCGTGTTGCATTGGAGACTGTTTGCTATACCGAGCATTTTGCTTGTACATTAACAACAACACTGTAGTTGAAATTCGTATCTTTTTCTGGATGATCTCAAGTAAAGCTGCTAAACATCGCTATCTGCTGCAACGGGAAACACAAATGTTGTGGACGTTTTGTGTACCATAGCTGAGTTATTCAGTACAGTCGTAGCGCACATAAGTTTGGGTGAGATTAGTGATGGCACCAATATGTCTTCATTGTCTGCATATGCTTTTCAGTCGACTGTCTTGTTGACTTGAACTCTGACCTTCGCGTTGTTTCTCGAGTTTCATACTAGCTATGCAAGAAACAACGAGAAGGTCCAAGTTCAGATCACCAAGACAGCCGGTCGAAATGTATGTGCAGACAACACAATCGTAACATCACTAATCATACCTAAAGTTATCAAGACAACCCACTAAACTAATTACATGAAGATTCCAATGGTTCACTTATTTTCTCAAGTTTGTACTGGTGTTCTTTTGAGTAACAATCATACGATTAAATCATCAAGCTCAAGTAACACAACACCACTAAGATCGTTCCTCACCAAATAAATCAATCCCCAATTTTTTTTTGAATAGTGATGCTCTGTTGCTTCCCCTTATCTGTAGGTGGAAATGTTTTCAGTCACAGCACCCGTACTGTCAATCAGTGATGCAATGTTTGATCGAATTATTAAACTGCAAATATGCTTGTTTGCTGATTTAGGTTTACATTTTAAGTAAGTTAATTGTGTAATTCTCATTTTCAGTATGTCGGATTCGTAAATTTTACTAAACACTCATTCCACTATAGACTTGCTTCAGACTAAAGTGATATCACAATGTCTGAATTGGATAACTTTTGAAATATCCCGCTGAATAACCTGAATAGTTAGAAACCACTTAGACTGATCTGTAGATTTAGCCAGCCACATCAGAGTGATCTAAACACCGAATGGTCATTCACTTTGTCTGGAGTCGAGTTAGTTAGCTGTTTACCAGGACACATTCAGCTCACAAAGCCGAATTCTTTCAGATCAGTTGAATCTAGCTAGCTGACTTGCATAGACCGATATACCTAAAATAGGATGAACAATTTACAAATGATTTACAATTTGTCCGGTCCACACTTACGTTCTTCATAGCTGAGCAGTTTTTCAACAAACTATTGGTGTCGACAAGGTTTCCGTCCGAAACCACCTAGCCAAGATCATAAGGTGTGCACCGCTAATTAGCTCGACCCCAAACGATCGAAAACAGCCGTCCGGTGTTTAGATGACTCTTACCTGGCTGGTGGAATCTGCCTAAGTAGTTTCTAACTACTTAATTTGCTCAGTAGTAGTATCTTTCGCTAGTTCATGACACTTTCGTGGCATGGATCACAATCTGTGATCTTCGCTGGGTGGCTTGCAGTAGAAACCTTGTTGATACCATAGTCGGGTGTTTGGTAACTAACTGTCCAGCTATGAGAAATATCAAGATGGATCGTAACATTTGTAAATTGGTCATCCTATTTCGGGTAACTTAGAAAAACTTATTCGTTATACCAATCAATCCCTAGGAAGTAGTTATTCGCTCAATTTAATTATAACCTATACCACTAATATTCTAAATTTGTTTCTTACATTTCAAAAGCATTATTTTCAGTTTCCAATCCAAGTGACTCGAATAATTAGTATAGAATCAGATGAAATAAGCGTTTAGGTTTGCACACTTTTTCACAGCAAAGTAACAACAAAAACAATTGATAAAGGGAGGGATGTAAAGTGAACCATTTTCAAAGCATTGTTGAATGTATTATTGATTTCTAAGTCTGAAGTTGTAGTGTACTATTCAAAAAATCCACCCAAAACCAAAAGATATTCAATTACTTGCAATATAACTGTTTAGTTTCCTGAATAATTAACTTATCCAAGTAATTCTTTACATAACAACAGGGTTCTTGAAATGCCATCTGAAGAACTTGGTGATTCGGCCTACAGAAAGGTTGACATTGAAGCCTGGATGCCAGGAGATCAAATGTATGGAGAGGTAAGTTAGTAACTTTATGAGATGCATGAAATAAGGTGTTTGTCGATCTGTTCCCGAGTATAGTATGACTCTGCCAGTTGGTCGTGTAAATAAGAACAAATTTCATATCACAAATTGTCAGTTTAGTTAAATTCAAATAATTAGGAGTGCAAATTGACAACTAAACAAAATGACTGTTCATTGTATTACGACTTATTCAATGTTAAAAGCTTGACAACACTGATGATTTGAGTCTTTTTACAAAAACAATGTCCTTTTCCAACCTAAGTCAAACGACTTCATACCGACAGCAGTTTGTTAAATGTTTACTGATCAGACAGATGCTTCTCTCCTTCCATTCTTTTCGGATTTATTTCAAAAGGATCCAGTGTGATAAAATTCAAACACAAAACGCATAGACGGAATCCTTAGTTACCGACATGAAATTTCCAATTTACCGGTAGTCTCATAGAGCACCGTATCCGCAATCCACTAGATACTGATTTCGGTACGGCTGACATCCTCGTTCCCTTTCAGTTTATTCGTGTATGGGAACCTTGTCACGTAGAAATTCGGAAGACTCTTATAAACTTTTGCATAAAACTCGTACACAGTACTAAGTTTATTTATTTTCAGTATTTAATAAGCCGTTTGCATTCGTGGTTTGGTTGAGAGATTATACCAACTTTTTATTCTTCTAGGTTTCCAGTGCATCAAACTGTTTGGATTATCAGTCGAAACGTTTGAATATTCGATGGCAGACGTCTGAAAGCCAAAGGGAATTTGCTTATACTGTAAGTATTATTGTAGCAAAGTTTTTGGAGAGATATTAAAAAACTTTCCATCCTACTTTATTGGTAGCAAGTTTCTGGCAAAAATAGCCGTATTATTTTCAGATTTCAAAGAGCGCCTCAGGGCGCCAGGTACATCCAGCTGACAAGTCCCAAATAGGACGAGATGTGCATCCTGGATTTCGATGCTATTCATTATCCATCATTAATAATCTCAGGAGTATTTTTGAAGAAAAATAATGAATTTGTTGGGACATATTTCCGAAACAGAAACTAAGTTACGCAAGTAATGCTCTTTTCTCATCCAAGTTAGGAAAACTATTTCTTACAAACCTCCTACATATTTTTTTCTGTTGGCTTTCCTCGTTTTTAGTTGAATGGAACTGCCTGCGCAATCCCACGTATAATGAAAGCTCTAATAGAGACCCACCAGACTGAGGTATGCGATTCCGTGGACCACGGACAAGATTTATATTCATGGGCAACGCTCCATAATGTAGTCATTTGTCAATTTACTTTTCTTATCACAAGTAAACACAGTAAGCTGAATGTCGGCAGTTTGACATAAGGGAAACTTTTTAAATCTTATTTACTCATGAGTATCCGTTGAACGTATATGAATTCGGTAGGGACTTTCGCAATCTTTGTGTGCAGTCAGCGGCGGAATCATAGCTGTCCTCGGTCAGTTCAGAAGGACAGTGACTCAATAGAGAATATATGCCAAATTGGAATTTTATCTGTTTACCGTCCTTTTGTAAGTCTTCAGTTTGCCCGACGGTGACTAGCAGTGGGATCCAGGACGTGCGTTTCGTCCCAGTCAGGGGTCACCACCTGGATCTATTTGCATTCCAGTGAGTGATGCTGTCCCCATTGTTCAGGTCAGGTACTCCTAATTTGAAGTCATTTTTCAGTAATCGTCAGTATCACTCAGGTCACTGGAATACTAAATGACTGCTCTGTATTTTGTTGCGTGTAGCCTACTTTGATGGAATTTAAAACCTGTAGGATGTGTATGTACGTTGCTCTAAGACTTTTGTTGTTTATCAGGAACGTTTCTTTCAGAATATGTCTGACTAACTGGTAAAATCAACGGAGAACCTCGCGCATAGGAGCATCGGCTCAAGTTGCCACACTTCACAGTAGTATACAAAGAACACATGTGGATAGAATAAGAGTGATATAAAAGTGGAGAAAGTTGTGTGACAGAATAAACAATATGGAGATAAAGGTTAGTGCGAATATTTAAGCTTTAGAATATATCAAAGAATGGATACATCTACACCACTGCGACAGGTTTTCAGCGATGTCACTGAGTCTCCAACCACTGATTCCTTTCGTCTCGTGGACCCCAACCAGGCAGTCTACATCTCACAACACGACTCAGATCAACAGTAAGAGACTTCATCGACTGGTCTGGCCACACTTAATCTTCTTCCAACCCAATCCAGCTCCCCCTAGCATGGGACGTCGAGATAGGCGGTGACTCGGCACGTGTAACACATATCCAAGTCATTTCAGTCGATGAAGATTCACAACCTCACCAACTGACTTGCTTATCTTGCCTAGTACCCTTCAACGGTGATGCCACCGCAAGCGAGTAATGCTACGAAGACATCATTGATAAAAAAAACCTTGTAATCGCTTCATGTCTTCTACTTTTAATGGCTGTCTTACAGTTGCATAACAGGCCACAATAAACTGGAGAGCAATATACCCGATCTTCGATATATGGTTGGATATCTTGCGCACGCCACAGATGACGGATGTTGCCAGACTTTGTAATTTCTAGGATATGAATTCAATTTATTGGTTATCATTATCACCTCATATTTACTAGTGAACCTAAAATTAACCTTCTCATCCAGCACTGTACAAAAATTTTATTAGTTTTGTTTTTCATTTCCCTTTATTTTATTTCAGAGTGGACAGGTTGTCATCCCAGAAGTTTTGAAACCTTACATGAGGATGGAAAGTGCTTATCCCATATTCCAGTTTAAATGTCTTCCCAATGAAAAGTCAAATTGAATTATATATATATATATATATATATATATATATATATATATGTACTTTTCTGTACAAAGTTAATGATTACAGTGTCATTAAATACAGTTGTAGGTTGCTGATTCGTAATATACATTTTATATATATATATATATATATATATATATATATATATATATATATATATCCTCTAAATTTACCAGGTCATCTTATGATCTAATGACTGATTACTTGGTTAAGTGAAAATTCACCTGTACAGTAAGCGCATTATACATCATTGTCTTGACAGCCATCTCCATCAGTATCTTCGTCTTGGATTGTTGCTAGCCGACTTTTACCTTTCGTTCGACAAGCCTTGAATTCAGGCATTTTTTCTCCAAATGCTTCAAGCTCTTCATGGAGTGACATCATATTCTCTGCTAGATCATTGGACCATACTGAAATAGGTATCTTTTCAATTTCATCCATGTCATCATACTTGAAAAAGAAGCAGGTTAAATAACTTCGATGTGCAGAACTGTTGTTAAAACTAATAAACCAAATAATCCATTGTTAAGTAGATTATTCTACTAAAACTAAATAATCCTAAGAGGAGGCTTTCCACTTTGTACATTACTCGTGGGAGAATAGTCCATAAACATAAAATACTAATTCACTGTTTCATGCCACTTTGGGAACCTATTAGTCGTTACCACTGGCATGCACTAGCGTATTTCACTGGTGTTGCTAAAATCTTACAGTATAATATGGGTAGACTGCAATTTTCAGGTAAGGAGTTCAGCATACGAATACATTTTAATACAATCTCGGGATACTTAAAAAGCCAAAGCAAGATTTGTCTGAATGCTTCGCTGTGTAAGTCATAGCTATAGCTCAGTAGTTTAGGTCACGCGTTCGAGCCACCTCCCACCTACCGAGGTTTGGGCAGTCAAGTGGTATCACTAGCCCTCACGCAATAGGTGTGGCTCACTGTCTACGGCAGGGACATGCACAAGGTAGCTGAGTGCGTTTCGTTCCACAGTAGCGTAAACCATGGGCTCTTCCGCAGACATTACTAGACTCTCAAATTCTTCTAAGATATTCCTAACAATTATGATCTAGATATTGATAAACACTTCAATAATATTCCGTATTTAGAAAACAAAACTCCTCCTACACTTCTAGCCATCATTTTAGATTTTCTCTTTTTGCTGTGTAATACATCTTATTGCTCAAAATACCTGGAATCAAAACAAACTAGCTTTAAGTATATTGATACACCAATTCTTATTTGCCCTATTCAGAATGATGTAATTTACCTCTAACCTATTCAATCCGAGCATTCACTCCAATCTTTTACTATCTGCGAACGAAAGTGTTCATTTCTATGTTGCTACAACTCAGTTTGTGCTGTGTATGCATTTTTGCATTGCTTCATGGTATACATAAGTATGTAGCGTATCCAGCTAATGAGTTTGTCTGAAATTTGTGAATTAATTGAATTCTACTTTTTCACATTCGTTGCTTGCTTTAAAACTATTGTATCAGGTCAGTTCATTACATTGCAGAGGAAGAAACTACAATGAACTAGAAAAGGGATGCGCCTAGACTGAGAACAAAGGAAAATATAGGATAGTATATTATAAATACTTTTTCTTAGTGATAAGTTTACGCACAAAGATAAGTTTTTTCTATTGATATTTTATAAAAAAAACTTATCATTTTGTGTCATTAGGAAATTTACTTATAGTATATTAATCCATTCCACAATGCACAAACTTCTCATTGATAAATAGAGTAATAATATTTATAGACAGTTGAGTGAGTGCTTCTTCACAAATGCGATCGCTTGAGATAATCACGTCAAGCACGTTTAGGAAGATACACTTACATTTGTCTAGAGGTTAAGGTAACTGAGCTACCAGCTTACAATTTGAATTAACCAAACTTCATTATGATAAAATTGCATGGAATGAATATCCACAAAAATATAGTATACTATATAAAAATAATTCTCCTAAGACAGCCAACAGGTGAAAGCATTGTTTAATGCTAATATTAGTATACTGAACTCAAGTATAGCAAAACTGATCCCTATGACCTTCAAAAATAAAATTGCATTTCTTCATCCCTGTGCAAGGTTCAGTATTCTACACTTTCGATAAATCTAAGTAAAAGGAAGAAGTATGTTTATAGGACTAATTTATCCAGTAGAAGAAAACTTACACACCAGTCTCCGTACATTGAATACTTATGAACTGTTCTTTTCCGGATAATTGACCTCTCAGTTTTTTGTTCATTAGCTAATGAAGCACGCCATTCTGACAGGAATATTTGCATTCGTTTATAAGTATTGGTGCTCGTACACTCATCAACGCCCATCCATTTCGGACGACAACTGCTATCATCTTCCAGGCAAGACAGACATTTTTGTCCAGCTCTAACAGCTTCTTCATAATTACCTAAGGCAGCATGAGCCTAAAGATATGACAGAATTTAGTGTGAACTAGAATACTGACGCTAACGAAAAGAAAAAAAGCTAAACTTAGAGACCACGCTAATGTTTATGCCCGATATGAGCCACATCTATAGTTTGACTGCTAGTGGTACTGGATGACTGCCCAAAACTTGAGTCTGAAGGACAGAACCAAAACCCGTGATTCACTAATTGGAATTTGAGTATCTAGACCGATGGTCCACAGCATTTAGGTCGTATAAAGGTGTAAGCGTTTAACTGATGGACCCGATGTTTACTACTTACTCTAAACTATTCGCTACCGCTATTTGAAAATATGTCATGATCTTTGTAGTTTACACACAGGAAACAAAACAAACACGGTTGTGGTGTGCAAGTTAAATACTTTACTTCAGCTTAGTAGTTATATAGCATATTTTGTATAAGCTCTATTAGCGTCAATAATATCAGATCTGAAAGTGGCTGAATGTAAATTATTTACATAATTTATGAAAGCAGGTACTTCCAGTCTTACTACTATCCTAACGACCTCCCTGACATGATAGGTTATCAAGAAACAATTATTTAAAGTCACTACGGCTTATTTTCATGGAAAATCTTAAATACAGCATAAAAGTTTGGAGACTGCATCACGCATAAACCGTGTAACTGCATAGGACCGAAAATGTTAATTTATAGTAGTTGTAAGGGTGACCGAAACAAATAGTATACAGAACTACACTAACAATGCCATTTTAATTCATTTATCAGATATTTTACTGTGATACATCTAGTGAATCACTTAAAACAGAATTACATCCTACCATAATGTCCAAAACCCCGCCTGGTTAACCAGTTTACTAGTTACTAGTCAGTCCTAGGCCCGGATAAACAGGGACGGTTGGGCATAGGGCTAGTAACCCTAACCTGTAAAACAAATCCAACCTCTACAGGAACTCCAAAGCATAGACAAAATATAAAACATAAAAACGAACTTATTCCTCGCTGGAATCGGAGACACGAAATGACACCGGTTGGTGAAAACCTTTGGGAAGCCAATCGACCGATATGTCTTCCCTCCCTCGATGAAAGCGAAAGTAAGAATGGGGATATGGAATGTCAGCACCATGTATCAACCTACCAAGGCTGCCCAGATTGCCACAGAGATGAGAAGGTATCGCACTGAAGTGCTAGGAATTTGCGAAAGTAGATGGAATGGAAGTGGACTCTCCAAACTGTCAACTGGAGAGTCAATAAACCACTCCGGTCACCCAAACAACAACCATGAGTACAAGGAGTTCTGGAGTGGCTATCACGATTTCCCCAAGACCATCGAAGGCTCTCTCTCATGCAGTGGGAACCAATCTCCTCCTTGACCAGAATCATAACAGCAAGATTCAACTCAAAAGGAAAGAAAGTCACAATCATTCAATGCTACGCGCCAACAAATAATGCAGATCAAGAGAAGGAGGAATTCTATAGACAACTGCAATCAGTAATAGACAAGACTCCAGTTGGCGACAGCAAAACTCTAATGGACCACATGAATGCCAAACTGGGAGCAGACAACACAGGAAAAGAACTCATCATGGGTCGAGAAGCACTAGGTGAAATGAACCAGAATGGAAAATTGTTTGCAAATTTCTGCGCATTCGACGATTTGGTGATTGGAAGCATTGTGTTCAAGCACAAGGATATTCACAAAGCGACATGGATTCGATTTCACCAGATGGACACACTAAAAACCAGATCAACTTCATTTTAATCTGGCGAAAGTGGTGACACAGCCCACTGGACACAAGATCAAGAAGGGGAACAGATGTAGGTAGATTCATACCACTCACTATCTAGTGCAAGGAACCTGCCTTCAAAATCAAGTTGATCGCCTTCACGCAAGCTGATGATAGACCACAGTTCAAGTTCAACACCCAGAACAGAAACTGAACTGAAGGACGAAACTACAAAGGACATCTTCACGTCAGTCATCAGGAAAAAATGGGTGACATTAAACAACATCCCCGAAGAAACCTGTGCGGATGAACACTGGAACTCTGTGAAACGGATGTGGAAAGAAACTCGCATAACCGTGTTAGGAAGGAAGAGGAAACAAGACAAGGAATGGATCTCGACGGGCACATGGAAGCTAATAAAAGAGAGGACGATGGTGAAGAAGAAGAAGATAAACCAGTACATGAGAAAAAGAACTGAGTACAATGTATCAAACACTGGACAAAGAAGTGAAGAAGAGTGCACGAAAAGACAAAGGACACCTCTACAACACACTTGCAAGTGGAGCAGAACAGGCTGCAGGTAGGAGATATAGAGACCTGACAACACTATATCAAATAATCAGGTTACTAACGATCTAGGAAGAGATCAACGCAGACGAAACCAATGAAAGATTGTGAGGGAAATCTAGTTACCAAAGAGGAGAAACAAAGGAAACAATGGGCTGACCACTTCAAAAAAACTAGAGTCGACAACCACCACCACCTGCAACTCGTCCACAAATACCACCAGCAACGGCAGAACTACAAGTGAATACAGACCCTCCGACAAAAGCAGAAGTCCTGAATGCCATAAAACTGCTGAAATCCGAGAAGGCAGCAGGACCAGATGGAAGTCCTCCAGAAGCACTGAAAACAGACACAGAGACAACAGACGACATGCTCACATCACTACTGAAGAAGGTTTGGAAAGAAGGAAAGGTACCTGCCTATCGATTGGAAGGAAGGCTATCTTGTCAAACTCCCAAAGAAGGGAGACATAAGCCTTTGCAAGAACTGGCGTGGAATCATGCTCCTGTCCACCCAAAGCAAGCAAATATTATGCCGCATCATCCTGGAGAGACTAAACAATGCACTGGACTCAAAATTACGACCGGAACAGGCTGACTGGCTTCAGAAAGAACAAATCATGTGTGGATCAAATTGCAACACAACGCTACGCATCATCATAGAACAGAGTACAGAATGGCAGTCAACTGGAGCTTTACCTCAACTTCATCCACTTTGAAAAGGCCTTCAAGAACGTCGACCGAGAAGTAATTTGACAACTGCTGCTTCAACACTACGATGTTAGTGCCACAAATCTTCATCAACCTCATTCAACAGCTATATGCTATATGAGGATGCCACATGCCAAGTGATTCACAATGGAAAGCTCAGCGACGCCTTTGAAGTGAAGACAGGAGTAAGACAAGGTTCCCGCCTACTATCACCCATGATCTTCCTGATTGTGGTCGACTGGATCATGCAGCAAACCGTGAGGAGCGAGAAGATGGGCATACGCTGTTTGACCGATGAAAAGACCCTAGAAGATATGGATTTCCCCGACGATGATTTCTGTCTAATGTCTTGTGGCACAAACTAGAACATCTACAGGCGAAAACTAACAAATTTACAGAAGAGGCACGGTAGCGAAGACGGGACTTCAAGTGCATGTAGAGAAGACAGAGGTGATGAAGATACCCAACCAACAACAGCATCAACAACAAGAGGCACCAATCACCATCAACGGGAGAAACCTAAAGGAAGTAGTCTCTTTCACCTACCTAGGCAGCATCGTTTCAACTACAGGCGGCACAGACGAGGACGTCAAAGCCAGCCAGGATCGGAAATACAGCAAGACAAGCCTTCATTAATCTGAAATCAGTGTGGGGACCCACTGCACTCAGCACAAAGAACAAGATCCGAATTTTCAACACCAATGTCAAGTCAGTGCTGCTATGTGGTTCAGAAACTTGGCGTGTCACGAAAGGCATTCCCAACAAACTACAGACATTCATCGACAGCTGCCACCTACGCTCACTCGATACTGAAGATCAAATGGCCAGAAAGAATAAGCAACAAGGAACTCTGGCAACGAACCAAACAAGAACCTATCGCCCAACAGATATGCAGAAGAAAGTGGAGATGGATTGGGCATACACTGAGAAGGCCGACTGGGGACATCACGCGCCAGGCCATGCCGTCGAGTGGAGTCCAAGGGGGAACGACGAGTTGGGCGTCCGAGGCGAGGGTGACATGGAGGACATCGTGCGAGGAGGAGATGAAGCTTGTGGGCAGTCGTGGAGCCAGGTTAAAAAGATTGCAGAGAACAGAGTGCACTGGAGATGTGCTACTGAAAAGCCGCATGTTCCATTGGGAACCCAAGGGACAAATACTAATAATGGCCAAGTTTTTCTTTTTCACTAATAGACTAGTAGTGTTATCAAGGTACTTTGTGAAATAAATATGCTGCATTAAATACACTGACCTTAGCTTTACGGAACCAAACTTTGACGTAATCTGGTTGCAATTCGATAGCGCGCTTGCAACACTTAATGCATAGAAGAAGGTAATCTGATTGTGGTTTCGTCAGATTGAGAGTGTACGTAGTTCCAAGTTTGAATAAACAGTGGGCTGCATTCGACAAGCAGACAGCTAACAGAGCAGATGGACTAAGTTCTGGAGATTGACGATCTAGCGCCATTGAGTCAAAACGGTAGCCAGGATTAACCACGCTAACGCTCCCGTCTAAAATCTTGATTGCTTTTTTGTAGCAATTAAATGCTCGAGTAATGCTTCCTGTCTGAAATTTAGCAAAAAGATTATATTATATTGACTATTAACAACCAGTTGATAAAAACTAACAGAATTTTCCGCTCAGTGGTCAAACCCCTCACTAAATTGATTGTCTGTAATACATAAGGGGAATTTTTTAGAGTCTAATCAAGTTGACCTTTAAAAGTCATTATTTTATAACTATCTGTCTCTTATAAGTAGTTTTAGTGTTGGCAGATAGAATTATAGTAAGGAATATCAGTATACCAGTTATGTGGTGCCACGAAACCCCATTGTTTTACAAAGGCACAATTAATAATGATAAACAGTTGAGTTTACTTCTCTACTGGGAGCCAATTACGGTCATGCCTAGGATGTAATACCCAGTTTTTCAGCTGTTAATCGTTTATGTGAAAAAGGAGCACAGCTGCGTAAAACAAGAACGTATACTAAAAGTCAGTCGTCTAAGAACATGTTTACTGTATATTTAGTAAACTAAGAGGAAGATCGTATATGAGGACACAAATAATACACCGTCGAAAACCTACTGTTGTCAAAGGCTATAAAGTTGATAGCAGTATTCCTAAATCGTAATTACACCCTTCGTATTTTGATTTGATGGAACGAGTTGGAGCAGATAAAAAGATAAATCAACGTAAAACCCAGCATAGATGTTCATTATCTCTATTAGCGGTAAATCACGGCAGCGAGGAAATAAGTAAAAATAATAACGTAAAAGTTCATAAAAGCACAAAATATAAATAAACGAAGATCAAAAAAGTGCTAAACCGGAGAAAGTTCTTACAGAACCACTCAGTCGGACTGTACAAACACGGCTATTGACTGGTATATAGTCGAGGAGTGAGCTTTCTGCTCTATAACTTCAAGCTAGGCTTACACCAGCGGGTCCATTAAATCTTCGAAAATCCGTAAGGCGGATTCTGCAGACTCACCGCATTGACCAAGTGAAGTCAAGTTAATGATCACATTGAGATCCCGTATATGTGTCTCAGAAGCACCGCACATATCCGTGACTTGAGATCCCAGAGTTCTGGCAAGCGACACTTGCTGTCCGATTTGACATAGGTTTGGAACGTTGAAAGCATCAATGTGAAGTCGACAGACCAGAAGTGGGGTTTCGACGGCTTGGATCACTAACAATGTTTGCAGACTGAGAGGTTGAGGAAGCTGTTAGAGACTTCATAAAATCGGTATCAGTAGGCGAAGGCAAAGGTAAGGAAGATAAGTTGTTTGGTTGGATCTTGTATAGTATTGGAAGCGTGCGGGTGGTAGATACTTCCCGGCTAGCCATACCATGGAAGTTGTTTCTGTAGAGTCCCAGAAAGAGAAGACTTGTGTGACCGCAGAGGCTACAGGGCATTTATTTCAGACCTATTACAGTCTTTTGAGGACTGTTGGTTTAGCTTTTGATTGCTCCAATACCGGACAGAAAAAAAACCATACCGCCGTCACCGGAAGGCTGCATGGAAGGAAGACTGCACTTTTCAGTGGGTCAACCTTTTCCAGCCTTCCCCTTCCCATAGGGGAGATAGTCTCAGAATGGTACTGCTGGTCATTAGCGGGGAACATCTTACTGCTGTCACACCTCATCTATTCAGCAGTGCGACTTTGTCCTCGGACCCTCCCCATAGCGTAGCGATCCAAACTACAGCATTAACCAATTATCGTCTTACCACTATCCAACAAACCTTTCTGGTGTGGTAGGACCTCGAGGGAACGAGCGTCCCAGCTAGTATAGCTCGATGGGTTATTGTGATATACATACACGACCACCACGTCAAGGTAGCAGCTGTCGGTCGGGATACATTGTTGCCTTGTTTAACAGTAGAAAGTGAACTGGCTGGTTGCGTTGATCACTTCACTAACCTGATAAATCGGACCAAACCTGGAGGGTCAGTGGTCGACGAAATCTCAGCATAAACACAAAAGGCCCTCTTGGCCTTCGCTAACTTACGCCATTTATGGCGTCACCTTGGTATCTGATTCCCCAATAAGATTCGACTGAACTGCACTGCACTCCGCTCTGTTCTGCTACATGGTTCCGAAATATGGCTACTAAGGGTAGAAAATATGAGGCTTTAGATGTTCGATCACAGTTGCCTTTGTAGCATAAGAGTTGTGATGTGGTATCACCACGTCAGTAACGTAGAAGTCAAGTGTAGAGTTTTGAAAGGAAAAGGTTAAGTCAGTCGATGACGTCGTGAACCTTCATCGGCTGGAGTGGTTGAGACATAGGGTTACACATGTCTAGTCAATGTATGGCTCGTAGCACATTCTTGGCTTAAGTTTAGGCTAGCTAAGGTTAAACGTAATTCTTACCTGTTGGTGTGAGCCATGTAAAGGAGTTTAGACTTTTCGGTTAGCGTCTGCGTAACAACTAAAATCGGTGGTTGGAGATATGGTGCAAATGTATTCAAACATTATCTTAATAAAAAACCACAATAATGTTTCATTCTCTGTGGTTATCTTTCGATGGTTTTCTGTCGGTTTTGATAACTTTTTTCCTGACTTTCATATTTTTCATTTTGTGCCTTCACCATTGATGTGCTGATATGAGGTATAGCAACTTGAATCACCGAAAATTAATGTCACTTCTCACGTTGATGACGACTGTCTGAGTAAGTGTCCACAATTTCGGTAAGAAAAAGTGCATTTATCTGCGGCATCATGACCGATTTTGAGCCAACATTATCTGCAGTCTATAACCAACAATTTCGGTTGACACACAGAACCCAACAGACAAGTCTCCGCTTCACTATACAGCTCAGACTTATAATCCAAAACATCATGGATGAACACCAGGTTTTATTTTTGCTGCCTTTAAATCCTCTCCAAGGTGATACATCATGAAGACCTGAGTCAAGAGACCCACGCTTTTCTACATACCTAAGAGAATGAATGGATTGGTGTCATATAATACGGTCACCCTCAAACTTTTTCCGACTTCATTCTATTTTGATTAACACCGTTCAACAAAGTAAGCGGCCACTCGATATGTGCGACAAATGTCTAAACCGCCTCAGTTGATGAAGTTACACAATGTCAATGGTTGATTTTCCCCCCTTTATTGGTACTCTACACCTAACATCAACATTGCTCACGTGATAGAACCATCATGCAGACAGACATCTAAAGTCTGAAAAACCTTTAGGGTTCTAATATCTATTTCTGATGGCTACATCAGTCGTACAATAAGACATAAGGGACTAGTGTGCAGCATACTTGTCTTTCGATAAGTGGTCGGATATCTCGTCAGAGTCACAGATGGTAGATGGCGAAAAGCACACAAGCCTTTTTATTCGGCCTGAAATTCCATCAGCAACCAGCCGATTAAGGCTGACTCAACTTCCCTTTTTATCTTTAAACTAGAACACAGTGCAATCCTGAGACACATAAAAGATGAGGAACGTATGGTAAACGTACTCAGGTTTTTGTTCAAGACGTTTAGACTACATTTTCCTGCATATTGGCTTAACCACTGTCAGCGGCCTGCTGTCAAATCAATCCCGAAGAATTTGGAGGTACCATCACCATATCTATAACAGTTGAATAAGAATCGTCATAGTGGACATTCGTGGTCGACACCACTGTCTGTTGTTACTTCAAACAACTTTTCACAGGCCTTCACGCGAAAGCGTAAGCTAAAATAGAGCTTTGATTTAGCACTACACAGTTGCTGGATACTCCCTTCACATTCAAAAAATATGGCAGGTTTTGAACACCTACAAGGACTTCCTTAGCTTCAAAACCTGTTGGAAGGTCAAATTCCGAAACGGCTTTGTATCCTCAAGCTCAAGTTAGGTTCCTAGGATCTTAAACCTAATGTTAGTGAAACTGATTTTCCCACATTTTATCTCCAACCCGATAGTCCAGAAATCTCTCTGATTACAACTGAGAACTTAAGAAACAGTTTGAAAGCTAGTTATTAGATTTTAAGTTCTGTTCACCGATTCTGAAAGCTCACCTTTAAAAGCTTATTGCCACGACGTTTCATCACATCTGCCACAACGTACTTCTCGTTTTCAGACATCTGCCAAAATTCTGCAAGCTGTGTGGGATTGAATTCAAAAATTCCCTCCAACCTACTTTTTGAATATCTTGGAGATGTATGTTAAATGACACATCATGTGTACGTGCGTCACTTATACCCAAAAATTCCTTCTCCAAATTTGTGAAGACATGGTCGGAAGTTAAGGCAACTTCGCATTGCTCTCCACAACCCATATCCTTTACGATATCATCCACAAGTTTGATAACACCAAAATCATCTCCATGTCCCAGATCAAAAGTTACCCTTTGATTTTGAATTCTCGGTTCAGAATCAACAATGATAGATACATCTACAATAACACGATCATGTTCATATGGTTTTTGTGTTCCAGCACACAAAATCACCTTAGGAAATGCTGGCATCTATATAAGGAAGGTAGTATTATTGGGAAAACATCTGAAAATTAAAATTTAACAAAAATTAGTAAAGCACAGCTTAAAACAAACATTAAGTGCGAAAAACAAGTGATTTTCGAGTGGGCTGTAAAAGGAGTGGATACTCAGCACTTTCTGCAAGTGAAACCGTTTGCGAATATATTCGAATAATTAATACTATCCTAATTATCGCCGTATTCTGCTGATTTTAAGCCTGCGGATAGCAAAACTGTAGTCAACTACTTCAAATACTGTGTATAATACTTATTTTTGAGAGGCTATTTTTTGTAGTTTGTCTTGAGTGATCCAATACCATCGATGTCAAATATTTTAGCCAATCATTTATATAGACACTATGATAACCTGCGCTTTCCCGCTACATTTATCTCGATAAACTCAGCTAACGTTAACCTTTGGAGTGCTGATGAGAAACTGAGTTCATACAGAGCATACCTTATCATCTGAATTTCGGTAATGACGCTCGACCTACAACAGAAATTTATTTATTCAAAGCTCAGTAAGAATATTCACCGAATAACACCCCCAACAGATGAAACGCTTCAGTTAGATGCAATCAGCAGCGAAGTTTTTATGCCTATACTCGGTCCATAAATAGACACTCTGGCATGTCAGAGATGTGAAGCGTTTCAGCGAGGGACACAACATACTAAAATACAAGTCCACGAACTTGTCTGTTAGCCTTTCAGGGTGTTGACGGATAAATTCAGGGTGACCAGCTGCATCGTAATCATTCTACACGATGTATCTATCTTCAGAAGGGTTGGAGAGTAGCTATCCAGAAAAAAATAGAATAGCTTTGAGTAACAGCCATTCTCCTAAGAGACGATCGAGAAACCCCTTTTAAATCGTTCCACATTAAGTGGTTGTCTAATAATCTATACGTAAGATCAAGTTATCCCATTGCCTGCTAGGCAATTTTATAAATTGGGAAAACTTTGTTCAGTGGGTACCAGATGAACATAGAGTGAAATCACTTGTTTGATCCACTCATGAGTTATCCTGGACATTATGTAGAATACAAACTAGTTTGAACCGATACTGAACTACTCAAAAGTTTGACTACATATAGTGCGCTGTACACTCCTAGATGTGAAAAATACCCAAAAAGAATTACTGCACAGTCTTGAAAATGAAAGATATTAAGGAGCTTTATCACGTTCATTTCCTAAAAAGCAATGAAGACCACATAGAGATTCAGTCTTATTCCGATAGGTTTCTGAAATTTCACCCAACTTTACAATTAATGTGTTAAATCCTATCATCTACGATACTTCTACTAAACTTTTTCGCCTAAACAGGACAAAATATAGAGATTAATTGGAAGAGAATAATGATATCACTGTGCGTCTCATAAAAGATAAAATGCTATGAGCTAAATTTCATAGTTCACTTTCTGTAAGACACTGGTCATTAGTCCTACCATTTCCTATCATATCAAGCTGCTCTATATGGTTTACAAAATGATCCCACTATTATATACAAGCCAGCGAAATTCCTTTTCAACACGAGCACGTTCAAATTCAATTAGCAATGTTGGCGGTGATTTAGATTTATTTATGCTCGCAAACAAACTTTAACGAAGATAATAGACAACTACTCTAGAACCCTGTTATTTGAATATACTGTTGTGTCTGCTTTTGAATTAGAAAAAGGACATACTACCTGTGTGAAAGGTTTTAGATAACGTCTTACTCAAGTAGGACTATATATATATATATATATATATATATATATATATATATATATATATATATATATATATATATATATATATATATATATATATATATATATATATATATATATAATTTTCATCAGATCACCTAAAAGCACACCAGAACGACTAAAGCTTTATTTGCAGACATATCACAATATTATTGTCTCTAAGATGGCTGTGTTCAACAAGCACCACTGCTTCAAAGTCCTAAATATAAGTTCCAGACTCAAAACCTCAGACAGAGTCCATCTAATTAGAAATCTAACTACACAATATTAGTCAGTGCAATCCTACCCTCATCATTACCTCGAAATATATAAGCAGGAAAAACACTTCCACGACCACTAAAGTAGTATGACAGAACAAAAGAAACTGAGCCTCAAGACCAAGAAGTGAGAGGTGAAATACCTATAAGTTTCTTCTACTCGCATTACTGTTGATGTTAAACTGCCCCAATGTGCGTAATCGAGATTATAATTCATTTTGCTTACGACCAGAATTTTCTAACGCTACCCACATTGAAAACTATTTTTACTAAGCTGTTTAATTTCTTTGTACCATTATAGCTAATTTGTGAGAGATTGTGGAGATTGCAGGAATTTAGTTATAAACCACTTAAATTAATGCTTCCCTTCTATCACCTTTTACACATTTTGTACATTCTTTCTAATACTTATAAAAAAGAATGTTGACCATCTATACAGCTTAAAAATAAGAACTTTGGTTGTGGCGGTGTCACTTTAGTTCTGCTTTCAAACCTGGAAATTTAGTGTGCCTCTATCCACTCCGACTTCTGCCTCCATCAACCACTGTCTAACGTGATTACTCAGTCAGTGTCCTTGGATCTTTATAGGACCTCTCCTCCTACTTCCAACTATCAGGACAATCAAATCAACCAACATCAATAGTGCGAGTAGGGGAAACTTGTAGTTCTTGAGCTCTCACTTCTAGGTCTTGAGGCTTGTTTCTTTTTGTTCGGTTGTACTCCTTCGATGGCCGCAGAAGTCTTTGCGTCTTCCTGCTTATAGCTTTGGAGGAAGTGATTGTCTTTTTGAAGGTACTTTACTTGCAAACTGTAGCCTGGTTGTTTTTTTGGGGGGGGAGGGGGCAACGGAGCTGCTGATAAGATCAATCAACCGTTTGCAATTTCTGTTGTTGTAGGCACCTGCAGGTAGGTGTTAAGCGTTACTTACAAAGTGATAAAAACAGTGAGTGGGGAATGAGAAAAAGGAGTGAAAAGTACCCATGAAAAGACAAACGTAACCGGTAATAATATGGAGGGGAGATGTTTATTAATCCAGATACTAGGGTTGAGGAATACAAGGGTGTATCATCAGTTGCCATTGACAAATGTTCGTGGTAAGCCGTTTACGCTCACATGCTCACCCAGTAGTTGTCTGAAGGAGTCAGCTGATATAGCTGTGGCCACTTCCTTCGGCAGAGCGTCCCATAAGGCACATACTCTGTAGGAGAAGAAGCTGGATCTCACTCTCGTCTTTGCCCTACGGTGGGGTGTGTGAATGCGGTCCCCACCGGACTGTCGGTCTTGGACCGACAACGTTGTCCTATTTGGGTAGTTCACATGGTGAACGCTCTTGTAGGCTATCAGGTCACCTCGTTCCCTTAGATAGCTTTGTGTGAACAAGTTGATTTGTCTGAGGCGCTGCGCATAGGTTTTGCCTGTTAGTCCAACGACCGACTGTTGCTCTTCTCTGCACTTCCTCGAGAGTATTTGCTTCTCTCTTACGTACTGCGAGGGGGGGGCTACCGTGCTGAACACCTCTAGGTGTGGTCTAGCGTTAGTTTTGAATACCATAAGGAATAATTCTGGGGTTAACAATCGAAGCTGCCTTCTTAAAAAGTGCATAGTGACGGTCGCCTTTGTTGCCATTCCCTTGTAAATGCTAGCAGTACCCAGCATGTCACAAAAGTTCAGTCATAGGTCATTCTCTTTGGATACCATGGTGATTGCATACTTGTTAAGAGTGTAACTGATTTTTATCGCCTCTGGTGAGCGAAGATACACCATCTTGTATTTCTTCAGGTTAAAGCTTAAACCGTTTGCAGCTGACCAGGACTCCGGCTGCAATAGGTCGTTTCGGAGTATTCTAGGATCCTCTTCGTCAGCTACCGTCCTCCATATTTTAATGTCGGCGAAGAGGAGGATAGACGAGGATTTTAATGGGGTCATTTGTGAATATGAAAAATAGGAGTGACCCAAGAATCTCTCCTTGAGAAACTCCTGTTCTTGCATTCCTCTAGGCTGATCGAATTGTGTTTACTTTAGCGCAGAATTCTCTGTCCACTAGGTATGCCGAAAACCATGACTTTGGAGCGCTAACAAGTATCACCTGAATTAATATTGCAGCCTACTACATAGTGATGGACAGTAATGAAAAGATAACATTCAAGTAACCAATTATCATCCATAACACTGGCATAACTCTTTTGTATTACAACGTATAACCTTTCATATTATGTATCATTGTATCTATTTACGTTAATTATGACATTTTGCTTTACTTGACATTTCTTTGGGTCTACTACAAGCTTGTTTTATCACCCTTTCTCTGACTCCTTTTTGGCTGAACACCCAACAACAACTCCCAACCGCCTGTTGGGTATACCAGGGCTACAGAAGGTGAGTTGGTAAACCTACAGCATCACATACCACCGACAATTAAGAACCGTTCCGACAGCCGTAGAACCGAGCGCGAGAAATTCAATTGGTTTACAAAAGCTCGTATCCAATATCCAATATCTGTTTATCGAGCTTGTGTAAACCAGTTCAATTCTTCTTGCTTGCTTCTTGGTCTTGCGGAACAGTCCCAGTTCTTTGGCGGATTTTGATACAGTGATCCAGAGAGAGATGAGTACGTGTCGTGATCGTCCTCATCTCTGAAGAGCCTCCATTTGTGTCATGTCTTTCTCTTGGCTTTTAGGAGGCACTCAGTGCCTCGTTTTAGCCGTGAATCCCGCTTTCTGGGTGTTATTACCACCAAGGGGACATTTTGCGAGGTCGCCGCCCCAATGATTCCCCTTACGGGCTCCCAGCGTTGGTCAACCGATAGGGACCACCAACCCACTGGCCACGGAGCTCTCGATAGGCTTCAGCTCACCCCTTAGTAGTTTGCCCTGTTGCAGCAGAGGCGAGGGTACGGTCCCTCCCACGATAATTGTTCACTGATCACCAAGTCAAACACTATCATGGCATGATCGCTACTTTCAAGAGGTGTTTGGACTTGGACGTTTTCAACCAGAAGGTGATCACTAGTCAGTAGGTAATCCAGTTCAGGTGGTTTACCATCTGACCCCCAGCGGGTATTGTCGCTAACTTTTTCGTGCAGTCTGGCCATTTGGATGGCGTCTAGCAGGTTACAATCGAACTTCGGCTCAGAGTCGTGTCCTCTTTCTCTAGGCTTAGGGTTGGGACGTTGGATCTGGTCGTACCCTATAGTTGACACTGGATATTACTTGGAGTACTTTTCGGTTGTGTTTCAAGTTGTCATTAGGAGACCTGTAGATTCCTCCAACTAGGCACCTAGTGTGTTTGACCGTGAAGTGGCATTAGGTAGAGTCTGAGAGCTTTGTCAGTACAGCGTCAGTGGCTTGTTCACGTTTGAGCCAGCTGTTCATGTATATTGCAACCCCCCTTCGCCCCCGTGTCCTCTAGCCCTTCTGAACAGAATCATGTCGTCTATGTTAACTTCGGTATCACCTATGTTTGGTGATAATCGTGTTTCTGTCAGGATCATGATTTTCGGAACAAGGTCGAAACAGAGGGATTGGAACTGTGATATTTTATTTCGGAGTCCTCTCATGTGGCTGTAATGACACTTGGAGAAGCCTCTCGTAACGCGAGATGTCTCTGGTTTTGGATGTGAGGGTTTTCGCTGACCGGCCAGCTCCAGTGTAATTGGCCAAGTCAAGCTTTTGCCCGAGTCGATTGGTACGGTCGGTGTTATTTGAAGGTTGCCGGTCTGGCTCTCAACGTGCTGGTTTAGGGTGATGGTGGCCAGAGTGCTTGGGGAAAGCCGCTGTCTGCTGTTGTCACGGTGTTTTTGGTCTGCTTTCACAGCAGCGAACATTCCAGCTTTTGGGGCTCTTGAATTCACACCACGTCTCTGGAACCCTGGTAAGGACTTCTGGGGATTAGAAGTTGACAGCCATCAGTTTAGGTGAGGTCATGGTTGTCAGATGTGAGGGGCGTGGCAGCCTGCCGATTGCCACTGCCGCAACCCTACTCGGCTCCATCCGAGCTGTTAACCACTCCCACTGTTAGGCATCATGGGTGTACTTATCACCTTCGGTACCGGTCACTATTTCAGGTATCCCATGTGTGACCATGGCTGCGAGTTTTGGTGGATCAGCCGCTTCTCAATACGTCTTTCTTGACATTTACGATCGGTTGAGTCTGGCTGTAATTTTAGACGATCTGTTGATGACGAGGGCGTGTGACAGTAAGAAGAACGATTTAACGTTTCTAGTTGAGCCTAGAGTCACCCTCATTGGCAGGGGCTTCTCTGGTGGTGAATGGGTGCCTTTTCACGGTCGACATAATTTTGCCTCGAGAGCAACCAGACCTAGCATTACACAATAAGAGTTCCACCTCCTCCTGACAAACCTGTCCTTGCGCTTCAGGAGGCTGTCACTGCATGCAGGAAAGTTTAATAGAATGATAAAGCAAGATCGTTAGTGATGCCAACATTATCCGATCCTATGAGTGCGTTCTCAAGGGTAATTCGTTATGTTATTCGCCGGTTGCTATCGCTGGTATGGTTCCAGGGCTTGGGTGAATGTGGTTGCCGTTGGTGTAGGCCGTGTTTTGTTCGGCCTAGAACCACTCAGACCATTACCGAAATCCTTTGGAGAGTGAATCTCCCACATGAATTGTTTGGACAGGCACCTGCTTTTTGGTTACTGGAAATTTATCACTTACTTTAAGCAAGCCCGAAACTAAGCGTGGTCTCAGAGGGCACTGTGGGCAAATGTGTCAGAACCACGTCCTTGGGTGGCACGTCATAAAGTGATGGTACTGTTGTGGCACTTCTTTATCACATCGGCAGTGCGCCCACCTGTTGCACTCAGACGCTGCATCACCTTCCATCACAGTGAGAACATATTTGTGGCGGTCATCGTTAAGTCTATGAGGTTTGTCCAGATGCTTTCGTTTTGACCTTTGGCGTTTCCGCCTAGTGGTTCTCACTAGGAGGTCGAGAGAGGTGACAGGTGTAGCATGCAGGTCTGGGTTTACTTGACTAGGGACATCCTGGATATCATACTAGAAGCACGGAAGTGTTCCCTCATTAAGTTGTCCAGACACGTTTCAAAAGGAAAAACACCATGTTAAAAATGGATCGATAACATACTCCACTTATCTACACTCATCTAGAAGACCAGGGATAATTAGTAGTTGCTGCACTAATATATGCCAAACTTGAGAATGACTTCTTTTAGCTGGGATCATCCTGAGCCTGCAAAAGTATCTTCAACGTTCTCACCCACAGTTTTCAGGTGGTAAATAACAATAGGAAGCCTGCCTTTAAAAATTGTACGCCGAAATGTTTCCTGAGGAAGGCGACATTCGTGTCTAGAATCACAGTCTACGGTTGGAAGAGGTTCCGCAACGACGATGACATTCATAGATATACCGACATTGATGAGATGAAGGCACGAGGTCAGAGGGTTGACAACATAAAGTGGAACACCCCAAAAGGCACAATAGTGTCCTGGACCTGGTCTTCGCAAACGGAACCACACCCACAAAACTCAAAGTGGGTATGCAATTTCCGGGTAGCGATCACAAGATAGTATATGGATACTTCAACACATCCAGCACAAAATTAGCCCGAAAGACAGGAACATTTCTAACTAGAAACTGCAAGTATGCTAAATGGGACGAACTACAATTGTTGCTGCGCTGCCTAAATTGGAACCCCCACTTTACCAACAGTTCAGCCAAAGAACTCTGTGATCTATTTTGTGAATACACAAGCACAGCTCAAAACTACATTGCTCCACTGCTCCAAAGAGAGATTGAGAAGAACAGAGTTGACTTTATGCCCACGAAAGTATGCGACAGCATGCGTAACCATGCCAGAGGGTACTATAAGTCGAATGACTCTCATTGCTTGTCACGCTCAAAGAAGGGTATGACACATTCAAGGTAGAAAGGGACCAGAAGCCGTCAAACAAGAACGCATTCAATGTAGTAAAACTATTAACACAGAAGCACTAGTGAGACTGATGAAAACCCGGACAAGCAGCTCCAGAAATAGTACTCCTAGTTTATTCGTGGACAACAGGATCCTCTGCGACGACCCACTACAAATCTGCCAGCTGTTCAGTTATCAGTTTGCTAGCTGCTTTACACACGGACGAAACAAAAGTCATCGGTACGTCGTCAACATCAACTCACTCGATAAGTACTGTGCTTTTCACTCAACAAAACACTTCCCTAGCCATAGCATCACTTCGAACCTCATAGAGTGCTTGACCTGATGGAATTCCAACCATGTTGCTAAAAAGAGGTGGCAAAGATATACCGCTGATTCTCTTGAAGCTCTTTAATACGTTCATCTTCAGTGGCCAATACCCTGAGAACTGGAAACGATCATACATACGTCCCGAGCATAAATGTGGACCAACATCCAATATAGAAAACTACCGACCTATAAACATCATGTCAGTAGTATCTACGACTATGGAAAGGGTGATTGTAAAAGAAGTTGTCGACCACATGACGATGAACCGATTACTCCCTCCAGCACAACATGGATTCCTGAAAGGCCGGTCGTGCGCTACCAGCCATCTAGACTACCTAGACGATGTTACAGGCAGGCACGATTAAAGCCTATTTGTAATCACCCTTTTCTTAGACTTCGAGCAAGCATTCGATAAGGTGCCTCATAAAGGCCTGGTCACTAAGTTGCAATCATATGGTTCCCAAGATCCGTTACTGTCCCGGCTTAGAACATCTTTAGAGGGCCGCTTCCAATTAGTAAAATTCAGTGATTACTAATCCTGCCCTAGACCGACACAAAGTGGTGTCGTCCTAATCCATGTAAACGATATCTGCAGCGCTATCCGAAATGGCATATCTTACATTCTGCAGACGACTTGAAGGCAGTCTATCGCTTCTCTCGTGCAGCACTAGCACAAGGTTTCTCTCAAATACAAGAAGATCTGAAGAGAATTTTCACATGGAGCGTGACCTGGCAGCTCCCTCTAAGCTCAAACAAAAGTGGCATTCCCCATTTCAGTATATCCCATCCAGAAGTAACACCACACTTGGGTGGCATCGCGCTGCAGATATGCAACACTGTGAGGGACCTCGGAATCACCTACTCCAAGAGTTTGACTCTGACGGAGTATGCAGATTCAATAGTTTCCAAAGGCAAAAGACGCATAGGTCTTCCATACAGAAACACGCTCGCACCCGAGGCAAAACCTACACTATACAAGGTTGTGGTTCGCCCAATATTGAAATGTTGCACGGTTACCCATGGTAACATGAAAGTATCGGGCAGAATTCGAGTAGAGAACATTCAAGGAAACTTTACTCGGTGCCTACCGATACATAACGAAGGGCTTCCTCACAAAGCAAGGTGCAAAGACTAGAACTAGAATCACTCTGGCCGAGACGCCTGAAGCCCGATCTAATCTTTCTTTTTCGTCTATTTGGAAAATCTAAAGCGAACTGTGCTACTACTTTTAAATCGACG